TACAGTTGTTTTAAAATTGCTCATATACACCAGCGGATCCGATGCTCTTATCTCAGACTAGGAGCAACCAAAAAATCTGAAACATTCACAATAAACTATTCTCATTGAGGCCTATCTACATGCAAAGTTTCAGACGGAAACTCAAAACTCACTTTTTCTCATGTTCCTGAGGGGGACCACGACTTTTTCTGAAAAATATAGTAAAAATGCTATATCTCAGTAGTAAGAAGCTAGCGGCTCGAACTCTTTTCATGGTATTCATAGCTCATTATGACCTATATGATGCACATAGTTCCGACTCAAAAGCGATTGATCAGTTGGTGACCCTCCCTCGTCAGTTTCATTTTTCATATTCATATCGTCAGTCTGATGTTTATATATTGATCATAAATTTATTTCAATCTGTGTCTCTATATTTCTGACGTTGACTTCCAAATATGATATCTAATATTATTATGTCAGATGTAAGAATCATCAACAAGACTGAGAATTGAAATTATAAATTTGTAAATCAAAATTTAGTACAAAAAAACGTATCTCATATATATAAGAAACATTATTTCTTGTTATCATTGTATCAACCATAACAAAATTCATTCCACTAGAGGGTCTGGGTATATAAAGAAGATCAAGATCCACATCCACCGATGTAACAATGAAGGAAGAACCCTCGTTGTTGACTTTGAAAATTCCTGAGTTACTACGAGCAAAAAACTAAACTAACTGCAAATATGATATTATTGAACGGTCGAATGGTAGATGTTTATTTATTTTTATCATTAAATACCATTGTCTTAAATAAAACTTCTTGTCGATTTTAACATCATGATCACAAAGGTATGATTGAAATATGAATAATAAAGAAAATATCAACAGAAAATTTTCTATCGATCTATTCTTACGAACAAGATTATGTAGCATTGACGAAACCAATACATTAATCATGGAAATAAGGATGTGGATGAGTGGGCAGTTTAAAAAAAAAATTCTCATTCATATTCACAGTCACACCTAAACCCATACTGCACGTATACAGTTTTCGAAGGAGTACGCAAAAGAAAGATTTCATCGTTAGTTTGTCTGTCGAAATGAATAACTGATTGGAAAATGATCATCGAGATCTTTCTTGACTGTACAAAAAATAATTTCGTAATTGAATTGTTAGAAATAGATGCTTCAAAAAAAAATTTTGAAATTGTTCTTCCTTTTTGGACTGATTAATAATATTCTTGTGTTTAACTTGTCTTAGTAAACATGTTTTGAATGCATTGGTCATATTTTCACTTGATGATTTTTATTAGAAAGCTCCATTTATAACATTGATGTATCAACAAAATCATATAGGATAGAAAAGATCAAATTAATATTCTTAACTGAGAGTGTTTGTCGGAAATTTTTTAAAATCATCGGTGATTGTATATTCGTTTATGATCTGGAATAAGACTTCTCTTCAACTACATCTACGCCAACTTTTCATTCTTGTCAATTCGTTTTTCAGACTTCTGTAGACTTCACCAAAACAAAAAATATATTTATTCAATAAAATAAATAGTTGCTTATATTTGTATGATATTCGATGAATGAATTGAGTCCAACCGTTCTTTCATTAAATATTCATATACGTATAATTTCGTAAGTTTCAATAGGATCTTATTCATTAGTTTGTCTAGCACTTATTCATTTCAATACCCTGATAGAATGCAAACAAACAACACATATAAGTATCAATTTTTTTATAAATTATTTTCTTTTATCTGTTGTCCTAATTATCGATAAGTATTATCAGAAGATTCAATGGTGTAGACCGACTATAAATGTTTCATCTATAACAGCATAATAAAAACAAAATAGTTTTCATCTATATATATATATTCTAATCAGTGGTGTTTGACAACAACATGATATCAGCTAACACATCGGTTGTGTTATTTCTAGCATTGGTAATTATTAATATTATTCCCTGTGTGCACAATTTTGGTGTAAGTTATGTTCTTAAGAAAGATTTTCTTGGTGAATTCAAACTAAACAAATTTTCAGTTTACGATAAAACTGAAAAGCATCTAAAATATCGCATTCAATATCGTTTGAACTTCAGAAATGTTCAAGGAAATATAAAAATTTTTGATACATCAGGAAAAATCGTAGGTCAAATAAATAAACGATTCAACATTGGAAAATATATTGCTGATATTTCGCTTTTTGATCCATCATCCAATCAGCAGATAAATGGAAATATAACAACCGCATCCTCTTGGGAAACAGAATATATCATCTATATCAATGAGACATATATAATAATGAAAATCAAACCTTATCTTATCATTGAATTTTATGAAAAAGGTAACGTCGAACGATTGGCTCAATGCAAAACACGACCTTGGTCAAGATTATGGGCTTCAACATTCGATTTGAACATATTTTCATTGAAATTTCCAGAAACATTATATATGCTTGCAATAGCTGTTAGTAAAAAATAGGGATGATTATCAAGAGACAATATATTAAAAGAACTTACTTTCGATTAAGATAAACGGATGAAATCATTGATTTATTTTAATCTATATCGTTCAATTCTTTTCATTAATAAATACTTCCATATAATCTGCATCGATTTAGCACAAATGAAAATTATCGAAGGAAAAAGCGAAACATTGACAAGAGATAAAATTTTTAAAAAAAAGTGTGTCCTTAAAGAATCTAACCCAATAAATGGAAATTAAACACATCTATAGAATAGTGCCATTAACTATTGGCACCTATGGAAATAGCATAATTACTTGAACGATATCAAAAATGATATAAAGGACGCGTGTAGAGATTGTAGGTCGATAGAGTTTCTCTTCACCTATATCCGCACTCTGATCGATTGGTAGTTAGAACTAAGATCGTCTTGAGGATGTGGGTGTGGGTGTGGGGTGTGGGTGTGCAGTGTGAGTGTGGGGTGTCGGTGTTGGTATGGCATGTGGGTGTGGATGTGCGGTGTGGGTGACGGGAGTCGGTGTTGATATGGGATGTGGGTGTATGAAAAACTGTATCTACACTGACACCCACACCCACACACGCTAAGTAAAAAAAAGGTTGATGAGGGAGGAGTGCTCTCAGTAAGAGAAAGAGAAGTAACAAACTAAAACAAAAGAAGCACCTTGTTATAAGTTGACAAGGTAACACATTATATAATATGATGCTCGTGTGATAAGCACAATGCAAAACTACACAACTGTGCGTGATACAAGGACGAGGAGGTGATATGAATATATTCAAAAGAGCTTTCTTAGTTTCATACCATATGTTTTTATAAGAAGAAAGTGTATGTAAGAGGAAACATTGTTTCCTTCAGTTATATGAAACTTTTTTAACTGCTATGTCATTTAAGTCAAGGTTGTAGATAGTTAAGAATGAGCATTAACGTTTTCTTATGACAAGAAAGATCATGGGCGTAAGAGAAGTTTGCTGTGCAAATATATTATTAATTAGAAATATTACTATCTGCCTAAAGTAGTATTAAACTGATGAATTGATGGACTTCAAAGATACTTCAACATAGTAAGAAGTTCTTCGTCGTTTGCTCTTAGAATTCTAATATATTTCTTTCAGTCTGTTGCACTTTTCGCTTTGAAGAATTATTATGTACTAGACCAAGAAACTTGATTTCTACCAAGACTCACATACTTGGCCTGAGAGTTGGTAATTTATGTTTGAAATGGTTTATTCACTTTTTTTTTGCTTTTTTCAACAGATAAGTCTTTTAGTCATTTATTTTGTGAGTCCTACTTTGCAAAATCTTCGCTCTTAGAAGTGATAGGTACTCATTAGTATTTTTTATTTGTAACTGAATCTTCTTTATATTTCTCAACAATCCCGAATTATCATTTTTTTATTTAAAAATTTGCACATTTCAACAGCTCGATATTTAAATGACTCTCATTCCCGTACTTAATGGCTTTGAAAATTTTTTGAAGAAAAATGTAACTATAGGGTGGTCCAAAACTCTCGACCCCTCCTTGGTAAATTGACTATATCTATTATAAACTTATCTGTATATATTTCATCGTTATATATATTTTTGTAGAGCAGAACGAGAGCTAGCCTTTGAACAAAAAATAAATCGAAATCCATAAATTTATCACTATCCTTTAGTTATTTGAGGAATCCTGAGTGAATATTTTGACCTTGCATTTTTTTGATAAAAATTAAAAGCAAATATTTTTATAGTAGTCACATGTTGTTTTGTTGATGAAATGTTGTTAACGGTAAGGTGTGGGTGTAAATGTACGTTATCAGAGACACCAACATTTACAGCTACAACCACTCATACTCCTCCCATAAAAACATGTTACGAAGAAAGCACATGCGACCACCATATAAATATTCGTTTTTAATTTTTATCAAAAGATGCAAAGTCAAAATATTCACCCACGATTCGTAAAGTAACCATAAGATACTGATAAATTTATGGATTTCAAACTATTTTTGTTCAAAACATAGCTCTCGTTCTGCTCTACAAAAATATATATTTCGATGAAATATACACATATAAGTTTGTAATAGATATAATCAATTTATTGAGGAGAGGTCTAAACTTTTGAATCATCCTTTATGAACTGAATTAATAAGAGCAGTTTTTATTTGCTTTTTCGCTTTTTTTAAATAAAAATGAATTGCAGTTATGTAAAAAAGTGAGAAATTGGAAGCAGTCGAAGCGAGTGTTTCTGACAGAAAATATATTCTCTGCTTGATTGTATTGCTTTAGAAAGAACTTCTAACAGGGAAAATTGTACCCATAAATCTTTAGAAAGATCGAAACTGTCGTAATTTGTCGTAAAGGTAAAACTGGACGTGAATATTTTTAGACTTCACATACAACTACTGCCTTTTCTTGCATCGCTTTTCTCAAAGAAAAAAAATGAAAAGTAATCGAAATATTGCTCACAAGCTATTAGTATTTTTGTGGTATTTATATGTTTCAGATTAGATACATTTGATTAGCAAGACGATCAAAAATGGCATCAAAAAAACAAATGTTTGCTATAGCTGGTGGTGTACTCTTGTAGGTGAAAATTTCGTAACAGTATGGATGTGAGTGATCCTTTAATCCAAACCCACACCCTTGGAGCCAGAGATCATTACAGAGCATTTTTTTTCTGTCCGATCCTGTTAGCAGTGCATGAAGTTTTCTTCTACCTTGTTCTGAGAAGTTCATGATTTATTCTATACTCAAAAACAAAGAATATGGATGTGGGCCGGAAACACGACAAAAAAGATTGACATCTATACCTACACTCTTATATATACAGAAAACAAAAGATAATCGGTAACTGATAATAAAGATTGTCGATAATGTTTATGATGGAAAAAATAGAGACATGGTTAGTTTATAGTTATGTCTCATGTGACTATACAAAAAATTGAAAATTTTGTCTGGAAAACGTTGGCTTAAAAATGATTACGTGACTCGCCAAGGCAAAATAATTTGTTCTGTCCTGCCTTGCATCGTGTTATATCTGTCCCGAGGATGTGAAAGACAGTCCTGCTGCCCTGATGTGATGATGGTCTCTGGTTAGAGTTGATGAGCTATGACTGGTACAATTGTCAGCCATATATTATCACTGATAAAGTCAATATTTTCTTTTGGTTCAAAGATTATGTCAGAAGACAGTTTCTTTCACGACTTGTTTAAAAAATCTTATATTTTTCAGTGATAGAAAGTGATGGCAAATTCAATTACTTAGAAAAACTCTAAAAGACTACCTTATTGTTTTTAGAGATTTTTTTCCTTTTATATGAAAATTAAAGTGTTTTTAGAAGAAGAATAATGAGAAAAACTAGTTCTAAGTACAAAATTACGGTTCTAGGACTTTTCGTTGCAGGACAAATCGTTGCGGACAAATCGT